GACATGCCTGCTTCACAGTAAAGGTCATCCCCACTGATGGAGGAGCTGAGCCAAAGAAGGACCCTCCAACCTCAGGACCCGAAAGTTTTTCCCCTTCCCTGCCACTCCTGGATTTGCCTAGGTGGCTTCTCTCCCTTCTCTCTGTGCAGTCACCCTGCTAGAGGCCCAACAGCTGAAGTCTACATAGAGTTGCCTTTTCTAGGCATCTCATTTCAGTGGAGTCACTCATAATATGGCTCTTTGGCTGTGGTCTTCTCAGCTAGAATGTTGGGTAAGAGGTAAAATATGTACTCAAACCCACAGGAAGTGGAAGGAGCAATGCACAACCCTCCTTTTCCTCTTGTTTCAAAATGCAGTGCACTACACCAGGCTTGCTAATACAGGCAGACATCCCTAAAAACGCCTTTTTATGCTCCTGTCTGCAAGCACATTCAGTTCTTAAAAGATAAGGGTTATAATTGCTTCTGTCTCATTCCCCAGATGTGAGGTAGAGCTATTAATGCATCCCAGTTCTTTTAACATGTGTGCTGATGCTGTGTGTGATGAGAGCACAGTTTCACACACCACTTCCCAGTGCGGGGGTGAGCATCTCACCTGAGACACAGAAGCCTTAGGACATTAGGCAAGCTCCCAGGTGGGGCCAGAGAGATGAAGTCATGGTTTCTCCAGGCACTGCAACCCTTCAAGGAGCAGCGCCTGAGTGAGGCATACTCCTTGGACCCGAAACTGGATCCAAATGAGAGGCCCTTTGGCAAATAAAGATCGGAACTGTGGTTAGTGAGGTTCATCCTGGAATCCAGCCTCACCCTGACCTTCCCACACTCCTCTCCGCCAGCCAGTGTTCTGTCGTCATGGCAAGTTCTCTCGGCGTGACTTACAGGTCCTGGTGTGATGTGTCCCTGCTTGCCCCTCCACCATCCCATCTCATTCCCCTCTCGTATCTGGAGTCCTACTATGTCACCATAGTGGATGCCTTTAGATTCACTAGAGGTGCAGCCTCCTCGCCTCCGGGCCTTGGATCTGCCGCACTCTGCCCCAGACCCTCCAACCAGCATCCCAAACTGAATTACTCATTCCCTCTAGGGTTACTCCCAGCCCTTGAGACAGGTTTCCCGCAGCAGCCTGCTTGCCCCTCTCTCTTCTAGAGTTCTCTAACCATGCAGAAACTTTCTTCTTGTCTTTTCCACCTAGACCCAAGGCTCCCCCTGGCAAGTGCAAACTCTGCCCATTATCTGACCCTATGAGCTCCAACTGCTCCCAGACTCTCATTCACAGAAACTGTGAGGAAATAAATGAATCACTGTGTTCAGAGTGGTTTTCTACAGCGATAGGTAACTAATGCACTATTAAAACTAAATGGTTTAAAACAATGACTTAATACACCTCCTTGATCCCACAGTTCCTAACTGGTGAGCTTGTGCCATAAGGGCACAGGCTGAGATCACTTCAGCAACACCTAGCTGATGAGTGGGCTGGAGGGGAGGGTCCAGTGTGACTTCACTCATGTGTCTGGCACTCTGTAGGCTGGAAAGTGACTTCTAGCCCACAGAAAGACCTTGGAATAATTATACACAGTGCCTATACGTGGACTCTCTGGCAAGGCTATCCCATAAGAGATGGGAATGTTTACTCCCTCCAAAAGAATCAGAACAATCCACATCATCTTCCATGACCAGGTCTCAGAACTGATGGAGAAACATTTTGCCTCAGACTCTTGATGGAAGCAATTGTAAAGCAAACAGAATCAGGGAGAAGGAATCAAAGGTTCATTTCCTGATAGGATTGGCCAAAGAATTTGATGCTAGTTTGTCAAAATTGACCTTACTGAAGTATAGTTTGCACTTCAGACACACGCACACACACACACCAAATTGACTTTAACAAAAGCATACATCCTTGTAACAACTATCACAATAAAAATATAGAGAATTGCTTTCATCCCAAATAATTCTTCTCACCTGCTCCCCCCCAGCTACACTCAATCCCCTCACCCACTGAAAAAATATTCCTCACAGTCTTAAGCATTTGAGTACCTGGTCCTCAATTGATCAGGCTGTTTGGAGGTTTAGGAGGTATGGCCTCGTTAAAGGAAGTGTGTCACTGGAGGTGAGAGTTACCACTTCAAGTTTGCTCTCTCTGCTTTGTTCTTGTGGTTCAAGATGTGAACCTTCCTGCTCCTGTGGCCATGCCTCCATTCCACCAGCATGGACTCTAACTCTCTGGAACTGTAAGCTCAAATAAATTTTCTTCTAGAAGCTGCCTCGATTGTGGTGTTTTTTCACAGTCACAGAAAGGTAACTAACATACCCACTCATCAGTGCTAGGCTTTCAGGCATTTCTGGACTTTCATATGATACTTTACATCTTACTTGGATTCTTCACTTAGATAAATGTTTAGGGTTGTTCCTGTTGATTGATAGCTTAGTTTGCTCCATTTTCTTTGCTGTATGGTATTCTACTATGTGGACATGCACTGTTTATATAGTTTCCTGCAGATGAATATCTGACTTGTTTCCAGATTTAGGTTATTAGAAATGAAGCCGCTAAGAATTCTTATTTCTATTTTCCCATAAGAAAATATGTAGAAGTGAAGTCACTGTTCCATACACTGTATTTGTCATTATAAAGGTCATGGAAGATGATGAGGATTGTTCTGATTCTTTTGGAATATGTAGTGGGGCACTTGTTGGTAAAGTGGTTGTTTAGAAGCTAACTCCACATGATGAAGTATTGTAAAAGATTCTTGATAGCCAGGAGATGGTGGCACACGCCTTTAATCCCAGCACTCTGGAGGCAAAGGCAACTCTATGAGTTCTAGGTCAGCCTGGTCTAAAGAATGAGTTATAGGACAACAAGAAATACACAGAGAAAACATCTTGAAGAGCAGACTAACAAAAAGATTCTTGATAAGAAAAAAGTGGATTTTATTCCAAATGAAGAAACAGAGGAAGGACTTCAGAACTCACAGTAACACCATACCTGATCTGCAGAGGGAGAGATGGGTAACATTCCAAAAATAAGTAAGCCTTTCCCCAAGTCACTCATAGCTGCCTGCTGCAAGCAAGAGGGAAAGACAAAGTTCCAGAAAGTATGTTAAAAGGGACATCCAGGGGCTGGAGAGGGGGCTTGTGGTTAAGACCATTGGCTGCTCTTGCAGAGAACCCTGATTCAATGTCCAGTACCCATGTGGAAGCCAACAACAGTCTGGAACTCCAGTCCCAGGGAATCCAATGCCCTCTTCTGGACAATGTGAGCACCAGGTGTTGCATGGTGCTCGGACATGTAGCCAGGCCAAAACATCCATGCACATAAAATAAAAATAAATCCTGAGAGAGAATACACTCATGGTTCTTAAATTTTATGTGGTCAAAAGACTGTGTGCTGTTTTTAGATGTATTCAGATGTTTAGTAATTGTTCTTGCCAAAACAGCATATCTGGCTTTTTCTCCCACACATCTGTTTCCCACCTCAACTTGTACGTCTTTCAACATGGCAAGCCTAGCGAAAAAGCAAGGTCAAATGAGGAAACTGGGCAAATGGTTTTTATCTGGCTTCTCTGTTTGACCACAGTTGGCAAACACTGTTAGAAAAACTGAGCAGAGGATGAACGACAGGGTGAAGTACATTTCTGATCATGGGCTCAGGCTCCCCTCGTACAAGAAGCAGGCCTAAGATTTATAGGAGATGGTGAGCGAATGAAGTGCACACCCATCCCAGAAATCAAAAGAGGCTCCTGGTTTGAAGCCCCCGGGGGGACAGCTCTTCGTCGGCTACATCTGTGCTCTACCTATACGTTTACCCCAGATGTGTACCTGTTGTCAGCCTAAGGAAGAATGGCTAACTAACATGCTTGCCCGCCTGCATGGTGGTGAGGCCATTAACCCCAGCACTCCAGAGGCAGCGATCTCTGTAAGTGCCAGGCCAGCCCGCCCTGCATCGTAAGTTCCAGGCCAGGCAGAGCTGTATAGTGAGAGCCTATCTCGAGAAAATAAATGACTAAATAAATAAAATACCTTCATCAGATATACACATCTCAGAAAATGTGTAACACTGGTGGAACGAAAGGGAGGTTTCAGTTATTTCAAACTATTTAATCTTTGGATGACTTTTGGTTTCTTTTGGTTGGTTTTGGTTTTACAACAGGCTGTGCAACAGGTAGTCCAGGCTGCCCTTAAATTCGTCATCCTCCTGACTCAGCCTTTCAGAGGGATGGGATCACAGGTATGTGTTCCCACAACTGTCTTGAATATTTTTTTTACTTATGAGAAAAGCTCACTTAATCGACAGCTATTCTTACTAACTCCCTCAGTTCCCATCCTTCAACAGGTCCCTAATACAATAACACAGCATTAACTTTTAAAAACTGTAAGCTATGTTTTCATCTATAGTTTAAGCCAACTAGACCACATGGAAGAGAATAGGAAGGCTAAAGGAGCCTGGCTTCCGACTTCCCAAGCCAAAAAGATAATTGCTAGAATGTAATGTGAAAAAATAAGACGCCCCTATAGAGACTGCCTTCAGGATGTGAGAGACTGACTTGCGCTGTTCCGCGGGACTTTGGTTTGGTTACTTCCTTGAAAATTGCTTTATGGATAGATCTATATTGCGTTACGAAAGCTAAAAAGTACACTGAAAAGGAAGACACGGTACCTCAAGTTACCCCGTGAGCACTTGCTCCAGGTGTCCACCATTCTACCCGGAGTTAAACCTAACCTGACAAAAGCAGGCGTAAAAGCACTGGGACGAGCCGGCCCCCTTCCCCCCGCACCTGCGCTGCCCCTTCCCACACCCCAGGAGTTGTTTGGAAATCATTCCTCTGCAGCCCCTTGCCCTGCTCTTCCTCATATGGACGCCAGGTGGCGCGCGCGAACCGCGGCTGGTGCTGAAGCTGCGGCGAGAGAGTGGTTGTGAATGCCTGGGCAGGCGGGGTGGGGCCGGGGAGGGGCATTGAGAGTGCTTTGGGTTGTTTGAACTTGAGATTCGCACCCGAAAGCAGTAGAGAAGATGTGGGCAAAAAGCTGACATCCTTGCGTGACCTCGGTCTTCTTCCAGTCTGTCGCCAACGACTCTATAGGAACCCTCCCCCACTATACCCGACACCACCTCCTGTTAGTCTGCGGTGACGCAAGATGGGCTTGGGGTCGTGCCCTCTGGTTTTTCCCTCCGGACGTTTTGTTCTGAGCGGTTAGGAACTATTGAAAGGGGTTTTCCTAGGTTCACCCCTCTTTCACCACCCTGAAGACAGGAATACCAGCCTGGTTTGGGCCATTGTATACTTAAAGGTTTGTAACCTCCAGGGTGTCTTCAGGCAGCTGATAACTCGGTAGATACAGTGATCCCCCTTTATCCGAGTAGGGGCAGTTTCAGGTACCTGAGGGTCCTAGCAGGTGGAAAAATATTAAACGGCAAATGCCAGAAATAAGTAATTTGTACATTTTTAATAACGTTTGTCACATGTGGCACACGTTCTATTCCAGTATTACTGTTCATCTCTGATTTATACTGTTTTCTTTTGCGTATGTAGGTCAGGACGAGGGATGGGGAGAGGGGATGTCGGGGCAGCATCCGTAGGGGGTTGTATTATTCAGAGTCTCTCAGGCATCTTGACCTCACAGAATAAGAGGACTGTGGCCATTGCCTGCCTGTTGTGCACGAGTTTATCACTCCACAATTTCCCCCAAAGCATTAAGTCTTCTTAATAATTCTGAAAACAGATAGAAAAAAATGGAGAAAGACACTGAGGGTCAGACAGGACCAGAAACTAGGCTGAAGTTGAAAAACTTAGGGGAGAAACAGGGGTTGCACTTGATGTTCCTTCTAGTGTGTTTCCAAGCTGGAGAATGCTGTTGAGTAAGACTTTATGTACCCCCTTGGGATCTTTCTCAACAACAGTGCCTGTTCCAGCACAGCAGGACCGTCCCCTGTTCCCCTGCGTTCAGTGTGCTTGTATATATGTCACTGTTCCAGTTCTATTAGGGGAGCAAAGGGTCTATCTCAGCCTACATGGTACAGGGAAGTCACAGCAGGAAGCATGGAGAATGGCTGCTTACTGACTCACAGGGTTATGCATAGTAAATTTGTTGTTGTTGTTTTTGTATAGCCCAGAAGTACCTCAGAGAATGACACCACCCATAGTGGGCTGGGCCCTCCTACATCAATTAACAAGATAACCCTCCACAGACCAATAAGACCGACCGGTAAACCCGGATTCCCTCTTGGGCAACTCTAAGCTGGATCAAGTTGACAGTTAACTCCAACTAAGACAAGTACCTTGTTTGTTTTCTCACTCTTCTTTACCCCATAATCCCCTTCTGAGGTGAAGTGTGGAGGAGATAGGGAAGGATGCCCTGTCTAAGAAAAAAAAAGAGGAGGAGGAGAAAAAAGAGGAGGGAAGGGAGGAGGAGGGAAGGAGGGAGGAGGAAGAGAATGAAAGGGGATGATTTATTTCTGTGAATGCAGAAAAGAATTTGCTAAGTCTGGACATTCACCAGACTACATGAAACTCCAAGTTCTGGCCCCAGCTTGTGGCTCTAATATTCACTACCATAAAAGTAGTGTGTGTATGTTTCCATTATGGTTATGTTTTTATGTTTATGAAATATTACTTACTCGATACTCTTTTTCTGTGGGGACATTAAGATCAGGGGACAGGAGGCATTGGGAAAAGGTAGTCCTGCTGACTGGAGAGGTTAAGATAGTGTGCTTCTCTCAGTTTACCAGGAAGCCTGAATCAGATCATGCTGATGCTTAGCATCTAGAAAAATTTGGGAACTGCGGTTCAAAACTGTGCCAGTGACTAAATATTAGCACTAAGGAAAATACATGCTTGGGATAAGGGATAGGAAGAGCCGGAAACTCGCAGGTGAAGCCCTAAATTTGATTGTTCCCAAGGTAAGAAAGAGAAGGCTACACACCACATCAGTCACCAAAAGATACATGGTAGTGTTGCTCATCTAGAGATTTTATTAGGATCTGAATAAATGGCTTTAATTGTACTCTTCTAAACTGGATAAACTTTGCATTGTCACAGTATTTGTAACTATGTACATATAGTCTATATGAAAAGAGGTATGAAGGTTTTTTTAAAGCTACTTTTAGATGGTATTACCACTTCTAACAAGATTTAAGTAATTCAGTTTTTCTTAAACGCTAGAGTACATATATAATTCTGTTCACAATGCATTCTGGTGAGACAGAATACACCTTTTTATGTCAAAAAGTGTTTCTGGCATAAGTGAACATTTGGACTCCAAAGACATTTGCTGGGATGGGGAGATAACTCAATGGGTAAAATATTTACTTTGTGAGCAAAAAGAACCCTACCCAGAAAAATGCTGGGTAGGCAGGCATGGTAACTTGCCTGTGATCCTTGTGTCTGGGAGACAAAGGCAGATCCCAGAACACACTGGTAGCTGGCTAACTGGATTAGCAGGCTGTAGGTTCAAGTAGGAGACCCTGCCTCTATCTATAAAGCAGAGAGCAGCTGAACAAGACACCCCCTGTCAAACTCCAGGGGTAAGGGGTACATATACACACACACACAAACTCCCACGCATACGTCTACACCTACACAAACACACATGTACACCAAACATGCACACCCAGGCAAAATGCTAATTCCTAAAAAGATACCTAAGCGATTTTACTTTGCAAGTTTAGGGCCTACACATCAGCAATGAAGGAAGGTCGTTGGTAAAGGAAGTGAATAATGGGTGTCTGCAGGCCACTCATCCCCATCGGTGTTCACTGAACATCCAGGATGTAACTGGCTTATGGGCCAGCATATATTTTTGAATTCCCAAAGACATGTGCTTGCTGAAGTGTTACTTTTCAGCACTAAATGGACTATAGTTATACGAGTACTATGCATATTTTTAAATGTGTGCATTGCCTTGCAACCACGGTCCTAATGAGTTCTATGCCTTTTTAATGACTTTTTAACAGGGCTCCTGAAAGGAAGCACACTGCCTTGTCCCTACTGTTACTGAGGCTATTTTTGAGTTTGCATAATCGAAGAACTGCTGTCTGGGCCAGAATTGTCTCCAAAACAGCCCCTTAGCTCTTTAATTAAGGAGATTTAAAAGGGTGTGCTGCGGGTTGGAGAGATGGCTCACAGATTAAGAACACTGGTTGCTCTTTCAGAGGTCCTGAGTTCAATTCCCAGAAACCACGTGCTAGCTCACAACCATCTGTAATGAGATCTAGTGCTGTCTTCTGACCTACAGGCATGCATGCAGACAGAACACTGTGTACATAATAAATAAATAAATAAATCTAAAAAAACTAAAAAAGGTAAATGCTGCTTACAAAACTGAATGCCTGCCTGAAAGGTTCCAGGGTGAATCATACATTTCTATAAGGTCATTCCTGTTGACAAATTCATTGTTGGAAGGGAAAGAGCCAAAGGAGGGGAACCAATAAGATTTAGCTGTTGAAATGGAAGGGAGAAGAAACCATGTTGGTAAGTTATAGCAATGAGGCATGTTGTTTCTGCTTACATGTCACTTTCCTTGCAAATTAAACATTATGACAATTGTCATACTTAACCAATATCTTTTAATTACATGTTTTCTCTCCCGGTGGACTCTCACTCAGAACTTTTGTCATTTCAATCCATGTTGATGGAGAATTAGCCAAGTAAGTTCAGGAGCCATTTCCTATGTTCCAAAAGGTGTTAGGGCAGAAACGAGACAATGAAAGGAAGTATGTCTCCAGGTGTCTAGTCCCACCCCTGAGACTGTGTGAGCAGGAATACACTCTGTGTCTAGGGGTGATTTTACAAAGCCAAAGCATTGTGGGATAGCAGTCCATTAGAAGATAATCATATGTCCGCTTTTACTACATAAGCTTTATTCTTCACTGAGAAGCACTTTGGGGAATGTTGTTTTGAAAATCCAGGCTCAGGAGAGCCTAAAGACCCAAGTCTTACGAGCCAGGCTGTCCAAACTCCACCAAGCAGGCAAGAGCTCATGATTGTATGAGTGGCATCACACCCTGGATGCCCACCAGAGAGTGTAGCCTTTGAATAACTCTAGTGGTCTCTCTCAGGTGGCTCCTTGTTTTGTGTAAGGTCCTCTGCAGTGCTCATCTCCTCATAACTCTTGAGTTTCCAACTTGCTTCTTCTCTGTTGTACACTTAACGACCGGATAGCATCCTAACCACAAAGCAGGCACTAGATACAAGTCTGAAGTTACCAAAAACAGATTAGATATGCATTTGTCAGGAATTATACTGGAGGAAGCCTTCCTAGAGATAACATTCACTTTGTGACTAGTCTTTCGCCCTTTGCTGAGGTAGAAACCCTCTAAAGGTCAGTGACTGTGTTTATGAATATCCCCACTGTTTGCAGGACATCATCAAATGCAGAAGTACCTCAAAAGGTACTTTTGCAATCCAATTGTCTTGCTAATTTTCTTGAAAGCCTTCAAAACAATGACAAATACAGTACTGTTTATGCATGAATCATTCTTGCTTTAGTGGCTTGACATTTTCCCTCATATTTTATTAAAATCCTTTGTGGTAAGCTGCAGTTAAGTAACTAATTATGCATTCAGAGAGTTAAAAACGTAGCAGCCATGTAACTGAGGTAATTGAACAAGATGAGGTCGTTGTTTTCTCCAGCACCAGATGGGCAATGCCGGAGGAGACCATAACACTTGATCTTTTCCATATGACTCACAAAGAGAGATTAGTCTTGACATTTGTTTCAACTTTTAAATAAAATAGAGTAGAGTAAGAAAAGAATTGAACAGTAAGTTACTGTTTTAAAATGAAACATTAGCATGCTTTTGTATAAAGATAAAAATTCTTATTCTAAAGTAGAAAATGATATAAAAATTCAGCATGGTATTAGAAACAAAGAGAATAGATTTTTCTTAGCCGACAATTTTCTGTGAACTATGTTGCTGCTATAATTTTTGGTGTGGAGTTTACTGAATTGTTGTGATTGTCATATTTAAGAAGGCAAGTACGGTAGGTTGCTCACATTTATAATCTCAGCACCCAAGAGGCTGAAGCAGGAATATTCCCACAGGTTTCAGACAGGCAAAGTATACAGAGTGTGACCTTGTCTCAAAAGAAAAAAAGAACACTATGTTAATAGGTCTTTTTTGCCTGGATGTGTACTTGTCTAGAAAACTCTCAGATATGAAGAAAGCATGACTGGAAGTCTGGGCACACGAGAATAGCATGTTTCCGTTTCAGAGCATTTTCCCACTGTGGATCTAGACGACCCATACAGATCTACACAGACTGCCAATTTGATGACCCAAGTCATTGGTGAAGTCAGGCCACAGTGAGCCCTGTGAACTGAAATCCATATCACACAGACCCCATTCTGCTGTACAGTTGCCTCCAATTTAAAGAATAATATATATCTATAACTGAAGAGAGACATATGGCTTATTATGCTTCATATATGTGAGACATTTTTGATTACCTAGCTCACCTCAGCCAGTCATTCTCAACTGGATGAGAGATGAGGAATCTGAAGTGAAAAAGAATATGTTTCTGAAGATCACACAAAAAGTAGGTGATGGGGTCTAGAATTAAAACATATGTCTCCTGACTGTCCCACCTACTCAAGTATTTACTCAAGAATTGTTGTGTCTATTGTAGGGAGAGAAAGAATGATGCTCAAGAATTTTCACAGGCTCACTGTAAAGAGTTCCAACTACGTAAATAAGTCTCATTGTGTTTCCCACCATAGCAAACTAGAGATACATTAATAACAAGCAATAGAAATTGGATTTAAAAAAATCTTCTAGGGAAAGCTCTATTCTGAAAAGTGTACCTCGGTACCTAAACCAAACCCGTGGAAGTATGCTACTTCATTCCAACACTGACCAGTAGTGGGTCTTGGTTTTCCTTTTTTAAAAAAAATTACCAATAATTTAATTATTTCATATAGAGAGGGGGCAGGGACTGTCTCTGAGTCTTTTGCCTCCTTTTGGGACCCTTTTCTTCCTCCTAGGTTGCCTTGTCCAGCCTTAATATGAGAGGATGTGCCTACACTTAATGTAACATTTCCATGTTTAATTAATATAGCTGGGAGGCCCATCCTTTTTCTGAAGGAAAATGGAGGAGCAATGGATCTGGGGGAGAAGGGACATGGGGAAGGGACTGGCAGGAGAGGAGAGAGGGGAAACTGTGGTCAGGATGTAATATATAAGAGAAGGATAAATAAAAATGTATTATTAATAACTTAATTATTTCATATAAAGGAAATTTATAGCTTATGAAAAGTTAATGACAAAACATCATTATAGTTATTTGCATTTGTAAATCTCTTAGGTGTCTAATAAATATTTCAGTGGGCTTTTATTTGTGATTTGTATAATGACAACAGTGGCTAAACACAATTCTTTCAAATCCTTGCATCTTGATTCTTAAGAACAAATCCTTTTTTTAAAAATATATTTTTTATTCTTTGCATATAATACATACAGTATGTTTTGATCACATTTTACTCATAACTTCTCCATGGTCCATCCCTGCCCTCCCACTCCCAGCCCCCAAAACTCAATGTCCTCTTTTTTTCTTATAATCTATTGAGTCAAATTTGTGCTGTCCATGTATGCACGAGTGTAGAGCCATCACTGGCACATGGCTAATAGCCTCCCCTAGTAGCCACTGACTGTCAGGAGCTCCTTAGCTAGGGTGAGGGGTCATGAGTATCTCCACCACCCATGCTAGAATGTTGGCTAACTCGATCTTTGTAGGCAGTCTCATCTGCTGTGGTTCCTGAAGTGGGCCTGCCATGTCCAGAAGACACTATTTTGTCCCAGTCCCCCTGACCCCTGGCTCTTACAATCTTGCAATCCCTTTGTGGGATTTTTTAAAAAATATTGAGCTTCTGCAACACACAATGCACATTGCTGAACACTGTGGAGAAATAAAGAGTGAAAGAAAGCCGGGCCTTTGGTCCTTAAGAAGAGTGATGCACAATGCAGCTTGACAGTTCTCCGGCTTTGTGGATGATGCTAGATCTGGGGACAAGAAGCAGCCAGGAATGAATAACAACCCCTGTGATGGTTTTTGAGAATCAGCACAAGTAGAGGGGCCAAGATGGAGCTGGTTCACTTTTCTTACATCTGTTTGCTATTCAGGTATATTCTTAGTGACCAACTAGAACCATGGACAGCTCAGCGAAAGGAGGTAAAAAGGATGCTCAAGATGGGCCGCCAAAAGATGTGAAGCTGCCAGTCAGCGAAGCACTTCTGGACTATCAGTAAGTTTGTGTTCTGAATCTAAAAACGGTCCCGTGCAGATATAGTCATTGTTAAGACAAGATTGCCCATGGGGGTGATGTAGCTAAGCACTGCCAAGAAAACCGTGATGGGTTAGAGACAGTATACTGTTGTGCTATGTGCATAGCCCAAGCGGTATCCATGAAATGGCACTCCTTGATGTGGTTTGGCGCCCTCCATTGTGTTGTGTCGTTTTCTACATAGACAACAGCGTGCTGGCTCACCTCTTAAAACACATTGTGGAATAGAGTCAACTGAGAGTGGGAGAGGGCATTCCCCTTTATTTACCTTTCTATTTCTTGGTATTCCAGCTTGTATTATTTCTAAATAACTACATGAAAGTCTAAGCAGTTTAGAGGAGTGTGTGTGTGTGTGTGTGTGTGCAAGATGACAACCTAGGCTGTCATTCCCCAGTCACTGTCTATCTTGCTTTGTTTGTTTTTTGAGGTGAAATCTCTGTCCTTGAACTTGTGACAATCTTTCTACTAGTGACAATCTTCCTGCCTCTGTCTCTTAAGTTCTGGAATTACAGGTATGTGCCATAACTTCTGGCTAAAGAAGTATTTTTAATAATAATGAGAGTATTTCATGATGTCTCACTCCCAGGAGCTGGAGATGTTTTATTTAAACAAATAGCCTCTTGAGAGCTTTCGAACATCAAGTTTTGGCACTGGATAGGTGTTCTAATGTGTAATTTTTTTAGAGAATTCGTGGAAAAGTGTTAGTAAATTTCCAAATAAGAGTGAAATCATTCGTGTTTTCATTCAATAAATATTTGCATGTTTCTCATGTACGACAAGTACTGGGCCCTGAGTACAGCAGTAAGCAGGACCACATGGTCCCTGCTGTGATGAAGCATTGGGGAGACATGAAGAGAGGGAGAAAAGGACTTGACCTAGTCAGAGGGTTTGGAAAAGCCATGTGAGTTGCTCTCTGGAAGAAGGCAGCTATGGGGAGAGGAGTGGAAGAATATGGCTTATGGAAAGACACCAGGGTGTGAAAACGTATATCATTTTTGGGGAATAGCAGACAATAGAATGAAGGACAGAGGGCAGACTCTGCTGGTGTAAGGTCCAGTGCAAGCAGAACACTGAGATTAGGAAAGGGATTCATTTATTGGAGGAATCCAAGGTTGAAAGGGAGGAGGGGGCTATGATACTGGTGACTAAGTCTGTATGAAGAAAATTATCTTACTAACAATCAGAGAAAATTCTTCTCCTCCTATAGAAGCTCTCACTCGTGTTCTCATCCTGTTTAGAAGGCAGAGAGTAAGGGGTCAGAATTCTAACAAAGAAACAACCCCTGGGAAGAGATGTTACACTCATTTTTCGGGATACCCTTAAGTAACGACAAGGCACCATCCTCGTGTAACTGAGATCTTGCCTCTCCTGCAAGCGATACAGAAGTTGGGCTCTGCGAACACAGCCTGGTCTCTCACATGCTCTGTGGTTTTGGGATAACACCCAGCTACAGCTCTCTCTATCCTTGATGTCAGCACTGGCCAGTCTTTCCCTCTTTAACAGAGAGTGAAATGCTAGAAGTTTTTCATGAGCTTGTGATTGATGTAAAATGACAATTCCCACGCCTGTGTTCTCTGTAATGTGTTAAAAATGAAATAAATAACCCCATGGATGATAACAGCCAAAGGCTTGCTGGCCCACACTCTGCTGGTGACCTTTTGCTTATTCTGGGTGTTCCCTGCAACAGAACTTTTGTCACATGGCAAGTAGTCATATCACCTTCTTTCCCCATTTAAGGAAGGATTGCCCAGGCAGCATTTTGTATTTCTCATTCTGTCCCATGTCATAATAAAACTGTAAGCACACAGTAGATAGTGATTCATGATTTCTGAGCAGCTGAACTTTAAAAGTGGTATCCAAGGACAATGAGACTATGAGATTTTGTGGCTGTGTTTGTAGAAAGTATTCTAACTACCTCTGCTAAATCTATGTAGCTGTCATCCCTGAGCAATGATCCTTATTTTCTCCTTTATACCTAGTTTTCCTACACTGGGTATAAAAATAGACAGAGAAGTAGGTGTGTATATGATTATAAATTTAAAAAATAGAAATACCAATAAAAACTTTGAAACCAAAGTTTATTTGAATGGGTAGTTTGTGGCTTTGTTTTTAATGTAGAGCAGGTACTTTAAACAGAGCTGAGATAAAGGAAAACGCTGTAAGGTGATTTCTGATTGGTTCTTCAACAAATTCTGAAAACTGAATTTTATGTCTGCACAATGCCCAGCACAGCTGGCACATAGTGTAAAACTCAGAGTTTATTTCTTGAGTAATAATCACTGTGAGTCTTTTCTATGTGCAAAATCACACTCATGGAGTTAACACTAAGATACTGCTTTGCCTAACAGTGTAAGGAAGCAGAAGTCTAAAGCACTCAGCTGAATGATGAAATGCCTGCCCGGAATCACGTGCTTTCCAGCCCACTGGTGAATGTACATGAGAAGCAGCTGCAAGTTCTTGAAAAAAAATCACTGTCATATATATGGGTTTATCATCCTACCTGCTTGTAGTCTCAGTGTGACACATAAGAAGCTAAGGCATTGGTGTGTGTGTGTGTGGACATATAAAAAGGGAAAGAATTAGAAAACAAGTAAGACAATTCCACATAACAGCCAAGAGCGTGGAGTTCCAAAGTTTCAATGCTTCCAGGTAAACCCACCTCTTTAGAAAGCCAAGGGAAGTCAGTTAGATCCGCACAAGGGGGTCAGGGAAGCAGAAAATAGTTGGGAATTCTCTAAGAACTTGGGCTAGTAATCAATCATCAACCCTGCTCTGCTCACCCAGGATGAGCAGGACAGCAAGCCTTCAGCCATTTGCTCCTCAGTGCTCAGAGGGTAGAGGCTGCAAGCGTCTTCAGATGTAACAAATAAAAATAGAAGCTGAGTAATTAAATTAGGATTTCAGATGAGCAAAGAGCATTTTTAGTATCTTAGACGGATGTGGGTTGGAGTGGATGTGGTCTCTGGTCTGCTCACTGAGTGTTCAGTCATCACCAAGGAAGGTTCTTAGCTGTAGCCATGGAGTCACCTATTCAAGTCTATTCCCATGTTACCAAATCATGTGAGTACCCACACAGTTCATATAACTTTTGTTTATAATATTTTCATTTTTATCCATAAAAATGAGAGCTAGAAAGCTGGAGGTATAGCTTAGTGGTCAAACATTTGTGCAATATGAATGAAGTCATGATTTCTGGTGCTTACACACTCATGCACACACACACATGTGCACACATGCACACACACGCGCACACACACACATGCGCACCAGGAAACAAGGACTGGAGAGAAATCACTTCTCTTATCCGGAGTAAAAACTTTATTTAGACAAAAGCTTTCTTTTTCTTGTAGGGTAGAATGGAGCTCATCTTCTTTGATGTGTTTAGAATTCTTTTAGCTTGTGTGTGTTTGTGTGTTTGGGGGCGAGTGTGTGAGCCTGGTCTTAGGATCAAACTGAGACTGTCAGTCTTGGCATCAAGCATGTCAGCTGGGCATCTTACCGTTCCTAATCTTTTTTTACAGAGGAGTAAGCTAAGGTCAAAAGTGATTATGTATACTATGCGGGCAATGGGAAAGCAGGGTAAATCAGTGTTCTTGGTATTCAGACTCTGGCATCTTTCTGTGCAGGGCCACTGTATGACTTGCTAACTTTATTTCAGATTTTCCTGTCTTGTGGAAGGCAGAAGCCTTAGTTTTCTCTCCCCCAAAGTATACAAGGTCATAAATATAAATGAGATTTTAGAGAAAGTGTTGATAGTATGTCAGATTCAACAAGAATTTATGAGTTCTCTCTGAGTGCGCCCTTCATGTGTGATTTCTAAATTTATTCCACATAACAATACACAGAGCTGGGTGTGGCTTCTGTATCTGACAGCTTGAAATTTTAGGTTATGAGATTTGATTTGCCTGTGACCAAGGAGGCAAGAAATGGTAAGAAGCAAGATTTAAAACTGTATGCTTTACTCTCTTTTAAATCAATGTCACTCTCTCCACAGGAACCCAGTGCACTCCCTCAGGATAGCTTCCTGGAGCAGAGCTCAGGGATCTGTGTGGTGTATCTGAAGGCTGCCATGTTAAAAAAAAAAAGGAAAAGAAAAGAAAAACTATGTGCTTCATTTTTAACTAATACAAGAGTTTGGATGAAGTGAGGCTGAAGCCTTACTTTAATGTCAGAGTTCCAAGATTTAATCTCTTCCAGAAATCCAGAATGCACAGCACTTGAAACAGCTATCGATTCCCCCATACCTGAGCCTTCCTGTTCTGTTTTTCATATGAACAGATGGTCAGCAAATACTTCCTGGCTGCCAAAGGAATGATTTGTGATGGGGACGCTTTAATCCTTGGGAAAGAACACACACTAACAAGCATGAATTGGTGGCATGCCTAGGTGACCCTAGTTAGTCCAAGATGTGCCTGCCTTGCACAATCTTAGTTTCTTCTTGTTTGCTTTGGTTTTTGTCTGAATGCTTTTAGAACTCTAGATGCATCTCTGGATAAGGACATATAGAAGAGAGAGCATGTTTTCTGTGTGTTCCTTCCTAGGTTTTCTTTAAGCTAGATTATAGATAATTAAAACATAAATTACATCCATGAAATAAAAATGCTTCTTTTAAAAGCTTAATATTTTCCCAAAATATATTTTCATGAATTTAAAAAGTGAAAAACACTAGCTTTCCTTAGATCCCAGCACCCAGGAGCTAGGGGTAGGATCTCTCCAAGCTCAAGGCTAACGTGGTCTAAACAGGGAGTTCCAGGTCAGCCAGGGCTACACAGTGAGATCCCCTCCCCACTCAAAAACAAACAAACAAAGCAAGAGCCTGGTAGAATCTCGTAGAGGAGAGTCTTATCTCTTTTAGTTTAAAATCAAAATGTAAGCTCATTACCTTTTCCTGCGGTAACTAACCCACACTTCTTTGCTTCTTCTCAGGCGTGAGATAAAGGAGAATGCAGTGGAGCGATTAATGTTTCAGATCAAGAAGTTGAGGGACAAGAATCAGAAGTACCAAGACAGGGTGAGTGAGACTTGGAGCGGTGGGCAGGCACTGAGCTTGCGTGCCTAGACAATGACGGAATGCACCTTCAGAGCTTGGAATCGGCTGGCCTATAATTTATTAGGTTTCTCCACACATGTGAGGCAAGCAGGCACTACTGTTTGCATGGTATGGAGAAGGCCAGTGGAAGTCAGTTCAATCGTGTTACTTAGACCATGAGGACGGACACCCTAGAAATCACATTTACCTTTGGACTTCTTGTTTATCCAGACTGTAAAACACGGCCTCTCTCTTTCCGTCTCTGAATCTAGTTTCAACTTTTCCCAGAGTGTGCATATGTAAATGCATTTAGAATGATATAATCCCAGTTATTAAAATTATCAAGGGAATACTTACAGATTACTTTGTAAAAGTCAGGTTAAGGGTCACCGGCTCAGTCAGTAGGTAAAAGCACCTGCTACCAAGCTCGGCAACCCAGGTTTGATCCACAGAAGCCACATGGTGGACAGAGTGACCGACTCTTACAATGGTCCTCTTATCTCTACATGTGCTCTGTGGCATTCGTCCAGGCATGTACATACATACATACACATACATACATACATACATACATACATACATACATGCATCAAAATGTTTAAAAATAAGATTAATACGAATAGCAAGGGGATGATGACTATTCATATTAATATATATTTCAATATAATATAGAAACACTACATGTTAGCAGAAAATGATAACGAGCCAAAGTTGTGCCCTCAGACTTAACAGCCACAAAGAGAGCCAATACAGACCTTCTTCACTGATTGACTTTGTACGATATGGAAATTTCCACAGTTAACTCTTTTATTTGGCTTTTTTGTTTATCCCCCGCCCCATACAGAATTGCACTCTACCACTCAGCCTAGCCTTGAACTCATGATTCTCCTCACCCAACCCCCTGAATGCTAGCGTTATACATGTGTACCATACCAGATTTCAATTTTGTTTTTAAAAGCTGTATCTTTACATTGTCATGGAACCTGGTGTCAGAGTCCTGAGTTTGCATCCTGACTGTACAACTTCCTAGTGATATCTTTCTGGCAAAATTTGGCATCGGCCTCAGTTTCTCTCTTGTGAAATGAGAGCCCCTGTCCATTCCACACTGGTTTGTGGGACATGACAAGCTTCTGGCGATATGTCCGTGACTCTGACGCTGTTACAGCGGTCGGTACTTGTGACAAGAATGAAACACAGCAGGCACAGGTGGGCAGTGAGAGTGATAAAACTGTCGATAAATTGGAGGCCCCACACGGTGTGATCCAATGCATGGAAGAGGAATGAGTTGCCCTCAAAGGGGCTAGTGCACATGCTCCGCAGTCAGCGCCCGCGCTCCTACGTCAGGTGTGGCAAGCATGGCAGGTCAGGACTGAGCCGTCTCTTTTCCTCCCTTTGCGGCCCAAGTGCTGGGACCCCAGGCGTGTGCCACCACACCCACCTCTTGCTCTTAGTTTTCTGTTTCATGTTCTTCTTACTTTTCTTCCTCCATTACTGTTTCTTATGTTGCATGTTTTCCAATGCACCCTTTAAACTATTATATTGTTACTACATTTTATTTTCTTAGTGACTTTCTTGGGGTTCTAATTAACATTCTAATGTATAGTAATCTAGTTAAAATTAATACCAACTCAGTCTCTATAACACACAAAGCTGCTGCTCTATGCCCTCCCTCTTCAGATGTCTTATCATACAAAACACACTTTACAAATTGTGATTGGCTGGTTGGTAATGAAATGGAAGTTTATATTTATTGCTCTACAGTTTTTCAAATAAAATAATTTCAAAAAGTAGAATTACTTAAGTTTCAGGTTTACCTATGCCGTTGCTCAAATTGCTGCCCCTGTGTTTTCTCATGAATTCAAGTCATTTTCTGGTGCCACTGACTTCACTGTAAAAAAAACCTCATAGTGGTAATTATTGTAGGGCAGGTTGGTGTGGATCATACACCCACAAGAATAACATGACTTTTATTTCAAGTGTAAAGTCTGGAATGGTGAATAACTGTCTTCCTAAAAGACGGGAAGAAAATAGGGTCATTTGTGACAAAACTGAAGAATAATGGAGTTTCCACAAAAGCGGGACCTTTTTCTATGTTGTTAATGATACCACTCAAGTGCCCAGCACACAGCCTGGCATGTGGTAGATGACTAAGTTGCGAGACTACCGAAGAACAGGGTTGATGGGAGTTTCAAAATAAGTAGCTCCAAAAAATATACAATGGAATAAAGAAAGCATCTTCAACAAATGGTGCTGGCATAATTGGAGACTGACATGTAGAAGAATGCGGATCGATCCATGTTTATCGCCATGCACAAAACTTAAGTCCAAATGGATCAAAGACCTCAACATAAATCTAGCCACACTGAACCTCTTAGAAGAGAAAGTGGGTGGTACCCTTGAACGAATTGGTACAGGAGACAGCTTCCTGAACATAACACCAGTAGCACAGACAGTGAGATCAACAATTAATAAATGGGACCTACTGAAACTGAGAAGCTTCTGTAAGGCAAAGGACACAGTCAGCAAGACAAAAAAGCAGCCCACAGAATGGGAAAAAATATTCACTAATCAATCCCACATCTGACAGAGGGTTGATCTCCAAAATTTACAAAGAACTCAAGAAGCAAGTCTCCAAAACAGCAAAGGACCCAATTAAAAAGTGGGCTGCAGAACTAAATAGAGAGTTTTCAATAGAGGAGTCTAAAATGGCTGAGAGGCACTTGAGAAAGTGCTCAACATCCTTAGCCATCCGGGAAATGCAAATCAAAACAACTCTGAGATACCATCTCACTCCTGTCAGAATAGCTAAAATCAAAAACACCAATGACAATTTATGCTGGAGAGGATGTGGTGAAAGGGGAACACTCCTCCATTGCTGGTGGGAGTGCCAACTGGTTCAGCCACTTTGGAAATCAGTATGGAGATTCCTCAGAAAAATGGGAATAAACCTACCACATGACCCAGCAACTCCACTCTTAGGCATATATCCAAAAGATGCCCATTCATACAACAAAGATGTCTGTTCCACTATGTTCATAGCAGCTTTATTTGTAATAGCCAGAACTTGGAAGCAACCTAGATGTCCCTCACCCGAAGAGTGGATAGAGAAAATGTGGTACATCTACACAATGGAGTACTATTCAGCAGAAAAAAATAATGGAATCATGAGATTCGCAGGCAAATGGATGACACTAGAAGAAACCATCCTGAGTGAGGTAACCCAGTCACAAAAAGAGAAACATGGCATGTACTCTCTCATATATGGATTTTAGACATAGATCTGGGGAGTGCCAGCCTATAATCCTATGGCCAGAGAGTCTGGGAAACAGAAACTTCATTTAGTGGCCGGTTAAGTACTGAGCTGAACTCAAGAAAGCCAGTAACAGAGAGGGAGGACTGATGATCAAAGGGATTAAGACTGGGCTGGTTTAACCCCCAGAAACAGCTGACCAGACAAAGGTTAACTCTTGAATCCCAGGCATCAGCCTGGGAATCCAGCATGGGCCTGATCAATACCCCCTGAATTTGGGTGTCAATGAGGAGGCCTAGGGAACCTATTGAGCCTTGGGCAGCAGATCAGTACCCATCCCAAGTATACACACGGACTTTGGACTCCCATAGAACAATGTGAGGTGCACTCTCACCCTGAACTCTTGGGGAAGGGTCTAGGCCCTGCCCTATATGAAATGACAGACTATGGACACCCCCATGGAGGGCCTCACCCTCCCTGGGGGAATGAGGGGATAACGGGGGGGGGGGGATGGCATGGGAGGAGGGGAGGGAATGGGAGCGGGACCTGGAACTGACTTGTGAAGCAACCTCGTTTCTTATCTAAATTTAAACTGGAAAAAAAAGAAAGTTATTTGAATGCATGTTAAACATTAATGTAATTTTTGAAAGGTTATATCTGATTTTTTTTACCAAAATAAATCTGGAGAAAAAAAAACATACTATCAGATGCTCACAATCCCTCCTTTCAGAAAGGATTTAAACATGCATGAAACTTGTTGATTTCTTGAATATTAAGAATTGGTGACTTCTGGACAGGTATTTCAGGGGCAGATATTAAGTGTCAGTATTTTCTTTGCAAGAATAAAAACTCGCACAGTTAAAAAAAATAAGTAGCTCCAAGATTTGGCATAATTGTTCATGGAGCCTGTGGGAGGGTGATAAACTGGTATATTGGGAGCATATTCTTAAAAATACAACATTCTATTGATGGTTATTGCACTGACGGATTTTATTGATTTTGAATCTTGCATGTCTTGGAAGCAGCACTGTATATCTTAGCTAATTAAACGTTTCTTCTCACTTTGCAAGCCTTGGTGCACGCCTGTGTTCTGGGTAAACAGTGCCAACAGCTGAGCAGACGTCTTTAACTACTGTCGATTTCTATGGCAGAATAGACGCCTGAAAGACGAACAGAAGTGGCACATAAATAACCTCCTAAGTGAACTGAGTGAGGAGAAGTCGGAAGGCACCCCAGTGGTGACGAGAGAGGATGTGGAAGAAGCCATGAAGGAAAAGTGGCAGTTTGAAAGGGAGCAGGAGAAAAACTTGAAAGGTAAGTCAGGAACTTGGAAAACGATCGTGACTTAATGCCTTCATTCGTGACTTAATGCCTTTGTGTCCCAATGTGTTCAAAATGTTGCGACTGCATTTCTGATGGCGTCATCTCTACCACAGCCACAGTTCTTACAGGGATACGGAGAGGAGAAGGAGAGAATGAAGTGGGCAAAGGTCATGTGAGGAGGAGGACTAGGGCAATGAGCAAGGCCAGGAATGGAATCCATCTGCCCTCCAGCCCCAACTGTGTCCTGAGCCCTGAGCTCTCATGGGGGTTGTTCTTTTTTAAAAAGTTCTGTTGTTGAAGGGTTTCATTGGCTTTTTACCTTTGCTTTAGATTTGGACATGATAAAGTGAGTATAATCATGGACGCCATGTTGGATTGGAGAAAGAGAGTTTAGAATGGAGAAAGGGGAATTAGGAAAATGATTCTGTGGATGGCAGCAGAAGACACAGACCTACTCTTACTATTGGAAATGCATGACCCTTCTGGTTAAAGCACATGTGTAGTTTTGATATGCATGTATCTTATATCTGTTCTTTAATCCGTCACTCCTTGCTGACATTGCCAAAACCCCTTTGACAATGATCCCTTGAGTTGGCAATGACATCACAATGGCTGCTCAGGTGCTCTGGCTAAACTGCTTTCTGGCAACGGCTCCAGTTGAGGTGCACCTGTTAGTATGGAGGCTTGAAGCACAGGGGTGCTGTGCTGTCTCAGGGTTTCTATGGCTGTGACAAAGCATGATGACGAAAAGCAACATGGGGAGGAAAGGGTTTATTACAGCTCTCAGGTCATAGTCCATCTCTGAAGGAATTCATGGCAGGAACTGAAGTAGAGGCCATGGAAGAGTGCTGCTCACTGACTCACCCCTGGTGGCTTGCTCAGCCTGCTGTCTCGCACCACTCAGGACCGCTAACCCAGTAATGACACTACCCACAATGGGCTGGGCCCTTCCACATCAGTCATCAACCGAGAGAATTTAGGAGGTTTTCCCACAGGTCTATAGAAGAGGGAGGCCACAGAGACAAGGAAGAGAGGGAAAGTGAGACAGCAGCTGCCTCAGGAGAGAACTTCTATGACAGCTGCATGCATGTCAGGAAGCCCCTTGGAAGAACCTTGTCATGAGGGAGCTTCTTAGAATCGATGACTCTCAGGCCCTGCCCAGGCCTTCTCAATCAACATGTGCATTTTTCCCCACATAGTATCTTTGACAGTTTGGGAATTCCACATATGTACCCTAATCACACTCACTTCCCAATCCTCCCAGGTTGCCCCTGCAAGCCCTTTGACTTCCTTTCCCAAAAAAGAAGACAATGAAAAAAAAGTTCAATCTGTGTTGCTCACATTCTCACTAGAGCTTGGTCAAACTCCCAATGGCCAGCCCTTAAAGAAAACTGAGTCCTTCCCCACACATGCCCCCCCACCCCCACCCCCACCCCACCCCCACACCCCCACACCCCCCACCAGAGGCCCTCAACTGTGGAGAGATATGGCCATACCACCCTGAATGCACCCCATCTAGTCTGATCTTGGAAGCTAAGCAGAACTGGGCCTGGTTAATGCTTGGATGGCAGACTCTGCACTTTCACAAGCTCCTGGGGATCTCTGGTGCTCAGGAAGATCTGAGAAGCACTGCGGGAGCCTTTGCCTCCCAGTTTTTAGCTAGAACATGTTCAAGTGGATAAAATCCAAGTAGGTAGGAAAGGAAGGGGGAGGGGAGTCAAGCAAGCCAGCCTGTATCTCCATCTCTCTCTCTAAAACTTCAACGAAATCTACCAGTCCTCCCCTCAAGAGCAAAAGGTAACAAGAATTCAGACAGTAGCACTCTGCCAAATGGGAGGACAGTTGCCCATCTTGCTTTCCTAACTGTTTAGACATTAACAAGTACTGTTTAGGGGATTTATGATCTTATGTGTATCTAGGAAAACCATGCCCAGAGTCCCTTAGAACTCTGAACTCAGGACATCCCATAAAGAAACATTTACTGAGCCAACCAGCTAATTTCCAGGTCTAAGAAGGCCAGATTTGCAGGGATGTTTAGTACAGTGTTGCCTTCAAAAGACTCTCCAATGAGGGGTGAGCCAAGCCACTGTGAGGTTCACTGCACATGACTCTGAGCACTGCTTCCCACATTCAGGCTTTCAACAATGTTATACTTGGGCCTATGAACTGAATCATGCTTAGCAAGTTACCAGGGTAGGCCAAAAAGCTTAGGTTTGAATAGTTCAGTATTGGTGGGTATTTAATTGGAGAACTCTGCAGTATTACAATGTGGAGAAATGAGAGAGAAGACATGTTTCTGACTGTCCTATGCTAGCATTTCTCAAAAGAAAAGCCCAAAACAGAAATTTCAATGATCAAATCAAACAACTGACTGATAAAAGTGACTTTCAAAACTGAGCTTGGTGGCATTCCTGTAATCCTTGCACTTGGGTCGGGGAATTAGAAGCTCAAGGTTAGCCTCTGCCAAGGGCTTTAAATCACTTTTGCCCAGAGGTGTTAATAACTGGAAAAAGCCACTCTACATCAGAATTTGTAGGGGGCAGGGAGCAGTAGAGAATTGGCTAGCAGTTGAGCCTGTGTTTTTCAGAGGACCCAGATTCAATTCCCAGCACCTACTTGGTGGCTTACAATCATCTGTAACTCCAGGATCTGATGTCATCTGGACTCCTCGAGTACCAGGTATGCATGAGGTACACAGACATACATTTAGGCAAAACACACATACACCATAAAATAAAAAGCCATCATAAGACATGAAGACTTGAGCAAATAGGACCCTGCTGAAACAATCATAGATTTAAGTTTGTGGGTTCCTAGGCACATATAATCCTTCATTTGCATAGTCCTAAACCATGTATCTACTTTAAAGCTAAAAGTTTAATTTTACTTAGATTTGTCATGAGGGACAGATAATAATTTTAATAGTGTAGATTTCCTAAAATTGCACATACGGCATTTGTGCATTAATTGCATTTTAGCATCAGACTTTAACTGTGAAGACAGACTGTACCATATAACGGTTCCGAGGATGATGGAAATGACATGTGCCTTGCTTTTCTTTCTAACAGAAATGCGCATACAAATAAGTGATGCTGAGAAACTATTTCTTGAAAAACTCAGTGAAAAGGAATATTGGGAAGAGTACAAGAATGTAGGGAGTGAACAGCACGCTCAACTCATTATTTCCTTACAAAATGACATCGATACTGTCAAAGAGAATGCAGAGAAAATGTCAGGTCAGTTGCAACAGAGTTCATTCAAATTCAATAAAATGATGAGAAGAAGGCCCATGTTTAATAGATGAAATCCAGGGCACTCCCCAAATCATTATCAAGACAGGAAAACTAGCTGTGAGACCACAAAAACCTGAGATGCTGTATGGGCATTAAGTTGATTGAGTCCTCGAGAGCTGAAATACGAGGATATCAAATATTTATTTGGGGAATACTCAATGACAATAAAGTAGAGAGCCCTCACAGTCTTCTAGCCAGGGGTGCTGGAAGCTGCAATCAGATCTCAGATCACCACACAAGAGACTGAGTATGCTACTTCTCTCTGCTTGTCAGTCCACACATAGCACCTCAGACCACGCCCAAATGGGCCTGTACCCCAAAAGCTATCGCCTGAATGAATTCCCACAACGATGGTGCTTGAGTTGGGTGCCTTGGAGGTGGGTGGGTACTGAGGACCAAGGACCAAAGGAAAAGTTGTTACCAATTTCAATGGACACTGTGTCCCCTGCATCAAAAAACTACAGATGCAGTATCGCAGGGAAGGGGAGAGGAAGTCTTCTGAAGAACCGAGACAAACACTCTGATGGCAGGAGAGTCAGTCAGCCTTGACTGCTAATGAGGACCGGGGATTGGACATGAGCTGGAGACGGGATCAGTCGAATAAGTAAAGGACCACACTACAGACACCCATAGGCAGTGGGTGATGAAACCAAACCAGAGTCAGAGACAGCTGGGAAGCACAGTGTTGGCAACAAGCATTAGCCTGTGTGGTTTGGGGTTCGCTTCTCAGAAGTGACCACGGTACATTAGACAGCCCAACAGTCACCAGGCTTAAAGCACAGACTCAACAGTCTCTCAAGTGTCTACTTGTGGTGTCTCAGACTTCTCCAAGGAGGCTCCCTTGTTTTCTTTGGCTGCCTTCAACAGTGAGTAGTCAGTAAGGGTCCCAGCTACAGGAAGAACCAACCGAATCACAAAAGGCAGCCAGGAGGTTTTCACAATGCCCATGTGCTGTGCACTCCACTCTGTTTTTAAGAAAAAGCAATCCATAGGGTGCTATTTAGAGTTTGGAACAAGGTAACATGTTAGTTTTGCTTTTTTAGTATTAATACGGAAATGGAACTAGACCTTCAGAATATATTTGGTTATCCACTTTGGGTAATGTATAGCAACGAATTGCCACGTTATCCCAATTCCAGGTTTTACAATTTCTTTGAGATGCTAAGAATGAAAAATAGATGAGAGCTAAAGTTCCAACCCACAGCAACTCTGAGATGACTGAATTTAAAGATTGCATTAACCTGATGGGCTAGAGCCTAGATCAAAGAAAGAAGTATCATGAGTTGGGCTGGAAGAGTTAATAGCCATGATACTCCAAATGAAAGTGAAGAAAAGACACTGTGTGGATGAGCGTCTGTCATCTAGAATGACACAGACCTCCTCCATTCTCACTTCCCAGACATCAAGCTAGCCTAGCTCCCCAAACCTGCCTAGCTCTCTTCTTTATACTTCACACAGGCTTGCTCAACTCTGTCAGAGGCCCTGTCCTGACCCCTGCCCACCACTGGGTTGTGCTTTCCTCTCTTAATTGCCTCCACTCCCCTCTCTACCTTAGCTGTTCCTGAAGAGCCATTACTGGCTGCCATAACTCAGGTGCCAACGTCTCCGATCGCTGCCCACCAAAGGTTGGCAGTTTACCACACTCGGTTTTCTTCAAAACACGTTTTTCAAAATATCTTGTGTCCAGGGGAGCAGGAACACAAAAATGCCCAGGAGTCATTTCCCTTCCAGCTGTCTCATCTAATAGGGAAAGTGCTATAAAATCAAGGTACAGGGGAGGGTGGCATAACTTGCTCAGCTTCCTCGTCCCCTAGCAGCACTCTTAGTTTGGCTGTTGGAGGACCACATCTGCCATTCCCATCCCATCAGCCCAAGATCCCAGAGTTCTGCTGTAGCTGCCTCACTCTGTTAAGAAAATGCCCCCAATTTCACAGGGTTCCATCCTAGACAAGGAACTATTGACTGTTGGGAGAGGGAGAATTAGCATCTCCCATGAATGAGCCCCCTTATTGGTTGCTCAAAGGGGTCAGCCTTGAAACCATACACCCAGCAACAACAAAAATGTACTCAGCAGGCGGTATACATGCATACATACATATATACATACATGCACACATGGACATCACATCTGTGTGTTCAACAAATATCATCAAAGCTATCATGTTAACTTGAGAGTGGGAACATGGGAGGGTTTGAGGAGGATAACTGGGAAGGGATTGAGGAAGGAAAGCAAAGGAAGAAGTGATAAAATTCTATTTCAATTGAAAACATTAAAAAAGATAAAAACAATTGAGGCTAAAAAGATTGTCTAAGCTTCAAAGATAAAATTTGTTACAATTTGCTGAAAAACTTTTTCCAGAAAATAAATACTTCACATGCAACAACAACAAAAAAGCAAATTTCCCCCTTGAAACAGAGCCCTGAATGGCAGTTAGGGTCTACAGCAGTCTTAGTATGGTACACTTATTTAATTAGTAAGTTAAATAAGGCTCTGTGCATCTGTCCAAAACTCTAGCAAACATGATTTCCAACGTTATCCATGTGGAAAAGTACACCTTGACTTTCAACCTCTTGCATATGGTATACACAAAACACAACTGATGGGATATACGTCATAGATGCTACTATGAACAACTAAGTGTGACTATTGTCACATTAAACCATTTGGAGAAGTACAGTTGCCTCATTGCTGACTATATCACTTGTCTAAACTCTGCCCAAATACTTCCTCATATCTGAAACAGAGGATTTGATCTTATCACACACATCACCACCTGAAATAATAGTTTTCTTACTTGAAGTCTGGCTTCCTCTTGAAAATGTGCGTGGCTGAGGGCAGATGTCTTTGTCTGGCTTAATCAGCAACATTCCTAGTGTCTTCAACAGCATCTTGAGTAAAGAGCTTAACAACTGTTGGGGGAGGGAGGAACTGGACTCCCTTATGCAGCTTCGTCTCTCTCCCCTTTCTGAAACAGACTTACACCATTGTGCTCCATTTTCATTTCCAAGAAGCACTGCTTATGTGGCCCCTAAGCACCTTTGGAGGCTTAAACTTTTCATCTTTGCTCTATCATTAATAATAAATAGGATTGGAAAAACGACCCAGTGGGTAGAAGCTACACAAACCTGGAACCTGAGTTCGATTCCTCGAATCTACTTAAAAACCTGGGTGCTGGGGCATGCATTTGTAATCTTAGCATTCTTACTTGGAGAAGAGAGACTGAGACAGGAGGATTCTCTCCTATGCAGAGTGGCAGAAACAAGAGACCCTGTTCCAAAAACAAGGTGGAAGGATACTGACCCCCCAAGCTACCCTCTGACATCCACACGTGTGCTGACATGTAGACCTATTCGCAAACAAGTCTTTTTTTTTTTTAAAGAAAATCCTGGAGGATAGAATTCCTGCACCTAATCTCTGTCGGCTGCCTTGTTGGATGCTCAGTACAGTCTGAGTTCTCCTGCCTCCAGTCCCCCTCCCCCTCTCCTCACTGCGTCTTCCTTGCACAAGGAACCACATGCCAGTAATGTTGATAATCTAGTTAGTTAGAGATGAACACCATGAGGTTCAAACAGATATATGCCTGCAGTGAAATTAAAACCCACCCACTCCTGAGTGATCCAAAGGACAGATGTTATACAAGTATTGTTTCAAATTCTCCCTCTGCAGAGAGAATCCTTTGAAAATACAAACATCCTTGGAGACCTTAGATAATTCAAACTAAGATGTTAGCAAATTATTGGGGCATTCTTCTGAACTAAATGTTTCATAAAAATAATATTCTTGAGAATTTGGGGGTGGGGTGAGATGTGTGTAGAGGGAAGAGAGTCATGAAATGTAAAATTTATAAACATCACAGTTTACCTCCGATTAGCCCCAATAAGGCTTGTAATTTCCTTTTAAAGAACAGTATAAAATCACTCTAGAAGATGCTAGAAAGCGAATAATCAGAGAAACACTGATACAACTGGACCAAAGAAAGGAATGGGCCACACAGGTACGTGTCAATTCTCTTGAAGCAAAACTTCCCCTATTCTTTCATGTAGAGCCATGGTAGCACATGCCTGTTTGAGGTCATGGCTGAACATTCTTGTAAGCCCAACACTCAGAAGGCTGCGGCAGGAGGACCATGATCTAAATAGCCAGACCCAGTCTCAGAAAGCAAGCATGGGGGTTAGGATGCAGCTTAGCGATGGAGCACCTGCCTAGCATGTGCGCAGCCCTGGGTTTGACCCACAGCACTATAAACATAGAAACACCATCACTTCCACCAAACAAAACAGAAGCCTTGGTTTCCACAGTTAAATAGTTGACTGTGCTGTCCCAGTATATACGAGCTGTAGAACAGGATCCATGACTTCATGTTCCCAGACTTCTGTTTTCTAATGTATAAAGCAGACACCATTACCTTAAATATAGTGTTAAGTATATAGAATGTTAAACAAGCTTATTTAAGTGGTATTTTATCTCACACGGAGCAAGTGAATTCCTATTCAGTTTCTTTAACAGTATCATATGACTTTTGTACCTTCCTGAGTTCTGCGCTGTACAATCTTAACTAGACATTCATGTATCACCCTCATGGTGCCTGGGTCCCACCTGCAAAGATGCCAATGTAATTACTCTGGGATATCGCCCTGGTTTATGGATTTTCCAGTTTTCATTAGGTTCTGAGATATAACTAAAGTTAAAAACCACTGCTCCACTGTTAGTGAATTAAGTAACAAGCCATCTAATCTCAGTTAGGACCTCCTTCAGATTTTGTTCAGATGATATTTTATGAGAGAAAAACCTCAGAAGGAGCTAGAGAGGTGGAAAAGCACTTGTTGCTCTTACAGGGGACCTGGGTTTGATCCCCAGCACCCACATGGTGGCTCACAACCATCCATAACCACAGTCCCAAGGGATCCTATGCCCTCTGCTGGCCTCCTTGGGAACCAGGCACACACATGGTGCACATACACATGTAGACAAAACATCTGTACACAAAATAAAATAAATAATCCAAAAATTAATGATATTTTATGGTGGTGGAAATGTGAGTTATTAGTTATAACTGGAATATAAACATTTCTAGGAAATGAATGTTGTCTCTGAATTTAATAAACATGATCTAAAGTGGTTTTCTTCATTGAAAAACAGTTTACTTGCAAAAGCTTAACAAATCAACTTATCTTTAACATACTATTATTTCTGTCCATGCTCACAATGTAGGATATTTTTTCTTATTTATATGTGTGCAAGTTCATGTGTGCATGCATGGATCTGTGCACACATATACATGCAGAGGCCAACAACCAACCTAGGGTGTTGCTCCTCAGGAGCTGTCTACCAAACTTTCACTGGCCTGGAGCTCAATGCGTGGCCGGTGAGGCCCAGGGCCCCTCACTTGTCTGTCTCCCCAGAATTGGGGCTGCAAACACACTGCCATGTCCATGGGTTTTTTGTTTGTTTGTTTAAGTTATGTGTGTGGGTGCACACAGGCCATGGCACTCCCATAGGGGTCAGCAGACAACTTTTGGGATTTGATTCTTTTCCGCTGTTGGTTCTGGGGATGGAACTCAAGTTGTCAAGCTGATACGGTATGTGCTTTTGCCCGCTAAGCCATCTCGCACTAACATCTGATTGTTTTTTTACGTGAGTGCTGGGAATTGAACCCAGACCCTCATGCTTGTACTGCTAGCACTTACCAGATGTGCTATTTCTTCAGCTCCTATTTCTTTTGTTGCATGTTTACTATGTTCTTTTAGGTTTTTTTCCTTTTAAAATGTTTTATCTTGGGTTAGAGAGTTGACTCAGCGATTGGGTGTACTTGTTGCTCTCCCAGAGGACAGAGTTTTGATTCCCAGAAACTTCATGACATCTTGAAACCATCTGCGACGTTAGCCCCAGGGTATCTGGTGCCCTCTTCTGACCTCCGTGGGCACCAAGCAGGCATATGGTACACATGCATGCATGAAGGCAAAACGCTCATATACATAAAGTCATAAAATAAATCTAAAATATTAAAAATAGATTTTTAAAAAAGAGGTTTTGTCCCTTAGTAACTGAATGTCTGATTTGAAACATGATATTCATATGAAACCATCTCACACACACAAAAACTACAGTGCCATCAGCTATAAAAGTCTTGTGTGTAAGACTGTACATATCAGGCTGGGGATATGATTTAAAACAAAGGTGGAGACAAACCCTGTCCCACCAGCGCTGACATTGTGTGTCACCTTATGACAATTGTTCCTTCATACAAAACTTTTTCTTGTAGAATGCTGTAAGGCTCATCGACAGGAGCAACTACCGAGAGATCTGGGAGAATGACTGGCTAAAAAAAGAAGTAAGTAGAATGTATCAAAATAATTCTTCCTATTTTTTTTCCTGAACTGGCAATGACCTTTAATTATAAAGTTGAAGTCATAGGACAAGCATGGAATTTTTATTGGCATAAAGGAATGTCCAAGTAAAACCTAATCCTATTATATTGTTACTCACCAAATGCCATAAATGATCTCAATAATAACCAGAAATAATTTAGTTGCTTAATCCCTACTACACACCCAATGTGCCAAATATCACTGTGTCCTAAAATCCAGCTAGTGCTTCTCAGGAGCCTGCCTCCTGCTGGGTGGCTGGCAAAGCTAAAGGATCATCCTGGTTCTTATTTGAAGTCACCCTGGGTAACACATCATCCTTTGCAAGTGCGTTCAGCCTTCTAGAAATCCTTTTCTCCCCCTGACCTAATGCACAGGGCAGAATGGCTTACACTATCTTTTGCAAGCTGGTGGCCAGCTCACACTTAGACCCCAGTTCCTTTTGGATCCTGGCTCCCTCTGCCTTTCAGCTCTAGAGGAAGTGATCTGGTCTCTTCCCTATACTGGTGACTCTTGAAGTGGTCCCTCTAATCTGTAGGGTATTGCGTTTGGAGGGTTTGTTTGTTTGCTTTTTGTTTTTTGTTTTTTGAGACAGAGTTTCTCTGTGTAACAATCCTGATTGTCCTGGCACTCACTTTGTAGACCAGACTGGCCTTGAACTTACTGAGATCTGCCTGTCTCTGTCTCCCAAGTGCTGGGATTTAAGGCATGTGCCGCCACCACCTGACTCTGTAGGGTATTGTATTGTGGTCCAAAAACAAACCCACAGCACAGCCATTTGCCTGTGACCAAGATGTCCTTGCAGCATGTGTCTCTTTCCACCCTGATCCCCTCACATAAGTGTGTAAGAACTCACGGTTACTGCTGAGCCGGGACCTGCTCCCAGGGTTAGTGCTGTACGGCAGTTTGTTGGATGTGGTCAGTAAAGACTTCTACAGCAGGCTCTATACTGTCTCTGTTTTGATCTGATTAGTCTTTGTTATTTGGAATTGTTCTGTTTTCTTCATGTTGTACATGCAGGTCACTCTGTTCTGCTCTCTAGTAATCTTTACTCTAACTGCCTGGAAAAGTAACTCTTTGGGTGCAGACTTTGAAGACCAATTTCCTTGTGAATCATTTCATAATTCTCTCAGCACAACCTATGAACCCCAGTTTCCTCAGTGTTTTCTTGCATTGCTGAATTCTTGACAAAAAATTGAAATTCTTCTTCTTCTTCTTCTTCTTCTTCTTCTTCTTCTTCTTCTTCTTCTTCTTCTTCTTCTTCTTCTTCTTCTTCTTCTTCTCCTTCTCCTCCTTTTTCTTCCCTTTTTTTTTGGTATTCCAAGACAGGGTTTCTCTGTGTAACAGTGCTAGTTGTCTTGAAACTCACTTTGTAGACCAGCCAGGCTGGCCTTGAACTCACAGAGATCCTCCTGCCTCTGCCTACTGAGTGCTGAGATTAAAGGCGTGTATCACCACCACCCAGAAAGCAATATCTTTTTAACTATATGTCTATAATACCTGAAAAATAATCTTTGCTTATCGAAAACAGCTGTTAAATGAATGAATGTTAAGGAATGTCTACTAATATAGATATACTTACTCATGGAGGGGATGAATCATATACACTTTTAATTTAGAAGCAGTTATATGAAACTGTGAATTATATTGTGGCTCAGGATGCTATCTTGTTTCACCTAAAGGCCCTCTGAAATAAAATTATAGAGATACAATAAAGATCCCATCTACAAAGACAACAGGTATAATGACTAACAGGTGAGGTTTCAAAATTTTTCTGGCAGACAAAAAAAAGTGTGGAAGTAAGCTGTTGGGTGAAAATGGCAGATGTAACATTTGGTCCAGATGTAAGTGTGCTCCAGGGGAAGCGCAAAATTCAATTTGTTTGGGAAGCCTGCGGGAGCCTCTGATCAGAGTCTGTGTGCTGTAGGTGGGAGGGATGGGAACAGGAGCAGAAAACAAGAACTTGCCAGCATCCCTAGGACTCAGTGCCATTTCCTTCACACAGACCAAAGAGGCTATCCTTGGCCTAGCAACCTGCAGGATTTCCCATGAGAATACTCATACAGTTTCTAGCATAGATGTGAGGCATTTATATGGGAAAAATTATGTTTCCAATTGTGACATTCATGAGGACACAATCTAAATATCCTGCTCCTTATTTCTCAATCCAAAATAGTTCCCCTGCCCTGACATGCCGTATTTACAGACTTTGGTGTACTCTCTCATTTTGAGGAGAAACTCAGGATGAGAACAGTCCTGTGTAAACACCACCGTTCCTTCAGTCAGTAGTTCTCAACCTTCCAAAGCTGTGACCCCTTCATACAGTTCCAGGTACTGGATAGGACTTAGGTGGGCGAACCTGCCTGGGATGGATAAAGAAGCCTGTCTCAGCTCCTAAGACCATCAGTAATATGTGTTTTCAGATGGTCTTCGGTGACCCCTAGAGGGGTCACAATCCACAGATTGAGAACCACTGCCTTACACCCTGGTTAATATGACTGAAGGATCACTAAGAACACTGGGACAAATGGAAGAGAAAAACCAGATGAACTAAGGAGACCAGAAGCAAGCACTAGCAATAAAGGCTGTCCCTAACCTAAAAGATGCTAGAGGGGATTTCAGAAAATTGAAAAGGGCTTTTATTAATATAAAAAATGAGAGTCAGTTTATTTGTAAAACAGTATCTGTTAAGACCCAAATAATCAAATATAAAATAGGATGCAGAGTGCACTCTCTCAGGACAGGGAGAGACACATCACTAATGTAAGAGGCACAGCATCCAAGAAACATGAATTCTAGGAAGATAAAGCAGAAGGAATCATCAGGGAAGCAGTAGAAGAAAATTCCTGATTGCTGAGAATGGCCAACAAAAGGAGGCCGAATGGATGATCAGCAAACCAGCCCTGGTGTCAACAATGTAGTTCAGACAGAGAATGTTTTTGAACTTGTTATTCTATATTCCACTCAACTAGATTTAAAGGAAACTAAAAAAAAAAAAAAACTATTCCCAGAATCTCAAGGGCTGTGATATTTACTTCTCAACCATCCTCAGGAATTTATTTAACAGTGCACTTAACAGCACAAGCTAGTATACCAAGAAAGAGAAACAGGAAATGCTGGCTTCCCCTGAACTCCAGGATAATTGTGTTTCAGGTTTAAAAGGCATCCAGATTAGAAATGATGTCATTTCCAGGCTCTAAACCCACGCACTCACCAAGCCAGCTGCGACTCTGTGTAAGCTAACCACAGGCATCTCAAACTCGTGAACTGACAACATCTGTCTCTTCCCCTGAAACTGCTTCTAGTCCCATGCTGTGTCTGTCCCAGTTAAGGTTATGTCGTCGTCATCCAAATCAGGACTTTGGAAGTCCCAAAGAAATGTCTTTTCAGTAGCCACTTCCAAAAAGCCTCTCTAGGTCTCACAAATCCTGGGAATCACTTCTCTTTTCCTTCTCCATCATAGCCCTACTCCAGGCCCTTGGTAACCACATCCCAACTGAAAGGGACACCTTGCTTGGTTTTGCTTCCCTTAAGTCAGACTCTCCCCTTCTCTTCCACACAAACTTAGAGACTTTATTCTGCGGTGAGCTCAGAGGTGCAAAGGGACACGAGAGAGAGTCTTCTGGAGACATGGGCTGGGCACACATTGTGTAACATGTTGACAGGTTTGGAATCATGATGTACACTAATACAGTCAACTTTACGAGATCTAGAATCATCTAGCAGATGATGCCTGGGCATCTATAAGAGAGTTTCTAGATTGGGCTAAATGAGGTGGGAAGACCCACTCTAAACGTGGGCAGCACCATTTCATGGACTGGGGTCCTAGACTGAATTAAAAAAAAGAGTAAGCGAGCTGAGCACTCCAGTAGTCATTGCTCTCTCCTTGCTGCTGATAGACACGATGTCACCAGCTGCTTCACGCACCTGCTACCCTGCCTTCCTGGACAGGATACCTCTGAGCCACTTGCATCTTCACACAGTGAGCCAAGAAGAAGCCCTTTCTTTGTAAAGTTGTTTTTGTCAGGTCTCACAGCAACAACAAAAGTAACTGTTAACCATGTGGGACTCCGCCTGGTGGTAATAGAGTCGTTAAACACCTTGTTAACAGGCCTGAGTGTCTCTGAGTTCTGACCAATACTTAGGAGTGTCTAGTTCAGTCACTCTCCCACTCCTAAAAATTCCCTTTACATTTGGATAAATGGTCATCCATCCTGTGCTTAAACGCTATATATGAAACAAAATTCACTATTTTAAAAAAGAGATGTATTATTTTTATTTTTTATGTGGGTATTTTGTTTGCATACATGTATGTGTACTATTGTGTGTTCTTGACAGCAGATTCCCTGGACTAGAGTTACAAGTGCAAACAATTCTGAGTGTTACAGCTCTGGTGGGAAAGTTATCCTGACTTGTCTGCAAGTCAGGCTCCACCGGGAGCTGCAATAGAACAGCTCTGGAGGCTGGATAAGGTACCCAGACTTGTCAGGAAGCCAGGCTACCTGAAGCTGGGATGCAGTGGGGGATGGTCTCCCTGTAGGATGTAGCAATCCTGCTCCTCTCCTAGAGAGAGCTGGTACAGCTGAGCTCTTCTCACTTCCCCTAATAAAATGTCCCAGCAGAGCTATCCATTTTTCCATCTGCTTCACTCTGCTAAAAGGGACGAGAAACCCCCGCAGAACATACAACAATCTCCTCTGGCTCTGGTGAAAAGTTACTTTTCTTGCTCCATTCCTAAGCAGATGTAACTGTTTATTCTGCTCACCCCACCAAGGGAGCATTTTCAGCAAAGGTTCTTCTGGTCCACACCAGTGAAAGATCTTTACTCAAACCTCAAGATTTATTTGGGAAGGAGGAGTCCAGGAGAATGGCTGCCTCTGCCAGGGTGGGAAAGGACAGCCTGCAACAGAATATATGGCTTCTTAGGGGCAGAGTTTTCCCAGGGAGAAGATTTTCTGATCAGAGA